GACTCGACTGACAATGCCGGATAGGACAGAATGAAACGATCGACAGAGCCTATTCCATACGAACCCACAGAACGGTTCATAATGAAGAAAAAGCAAAAGGCCAAGAAGGTCAGAGATATCTTTCCGAAGAGGTGTACCGGTCACAGCCCACGCATTCTGGCGAGGGATCAGACGTGCGACCTTTGCTGCATTGCTCACGCCGCTCTCGATCATTTGGGCTTCGTCAAGACAGACTCGCCACCATGATATTTTGACAAGAGGTGATTTTCGTGGCTGAAATCTTTTCTCATGTCGCAAATTACGTTTTGGAGCATCACCGGAATAATGGATCTCCCGTGCAAGGACATCATACGTGGTGAGAACGACATCTTGGTCGGCAAGTAGTTCAACAAGTTCGCGGTCCGAAAGCTTCTGATGGCGATTTATACCTGTATAGTGAAGAACGTGGAGAGCCGGTGCATGCAACTGAATTTCCTGCATCCATTGCTGGAGAATAGCAGGAGGTGTGATGATCAATGTTGCACCAGATTGTCTCATTCCACCGATGTCCAAGTCGATATCAGGTTGCAAGGCACGACGATGGAGGCACATCAGACTAATCATTTCCACAGTCTTGCCCAGTCCCATCTCTTCCGCAAGGATACCACCTTTGAGATAGTCCGCCGGCGCGTACCAATTGGAATGATCGGATGTAACAGTCATGAACAAAGGGCTAACATAGTACGTTTTCCCCTCAGCATCTGTACGCTTCTCGAACGAAGTTGGCAGTTCATTCGCCGTTTTGTTCTCCAGAGGAAACACGTGTCCATTCTCCTGAAGCTTCACCCCTTCCCTTTCGAGTAACCACCGTACTGCTCTCCTTTGGAATGGATAAAGTCGACAATGTATCAAATCGGACTTGATTTCTGCAGATGACTCGGGTGTGTCTTGAGGAACATGGACATTATCGTAGAAATCTCGAGGAGACCAAATGGCTGCTGGCGCGAAACCCATATTGCGCGCCTTGTTGTACATCTCGGGATCACGCTGTAGCACATATTTCCCAAAAGTTTCAAGTGCCCCAGCATTTAGCAGCTTTTCATCGATAATATCCAGAGAATCTCTCCATAAAATAATTGTCTCAAGCCGAAATGATTTTCTATCTGTTGAACAATGGAGAGTACATTGATAACATGCAATTGGAGCCTTCTTATGATATCGATCGGCGCAAACAAGGCGATGAGCGGACTCGAGGTGTTTCCCAAACTCTGATAATTGAGGACTAGTCGAAGACTCTTTGTACACGGTCTCTTGCTCCGGCAATGTAGCTATCTCTAGCTCGAAACAGTCCTGCGAGGCTGACTCATGAGTCCAACTGGCCAAATGTCGGGAGTTTCCAGCACTCTGAAGGACAACAGGAAGCCGGGGTAATGGCGTCAAAGGATCATCAATGTGTCCCTCCAAAAGAGGATTCGCGTGAGCGAATTTCTGATAGATTGTTCAAGTCAGTCGCGGCTCTCAGCGGTATTTGGTCCATGATTGTGGTCATTTACATACCAGGTTTAGGTCAAAGCGCGCCAACGCAATATATCCATTGGGAACCCCATTTTCAGATGCGCCGCTCACGTCTCGAAGACTCTGGGGTGCTGATGTCAGTTTGCGACGCTTGCTGGGAGGACCATCGCTCTCGAGTTGCCCGCTTTGCGCAAAAGCAGTAGCTAAGCTATCAGGCACTCTACCTGCATGTTGTAAAGAATTAGCAATCAAGCAGCAAATCGCTTTAGAGAAAGGGTAGTCGGCGCACCTAGATAGCAAACTTCTTCCGTCACCACAGCCATCCTGCAACTGTTTCGTCTGTACAAAGCGCCACAATGCATCAAGTACAGAGTAGGAAGATGAATGGCGATAAGGCAATCTTATCATAAAATCACGTGATGTAGATATCGAGATTCCATGGTTCTGGGGAGAGTGGCAAAACTCACTTTTCGATTGGTAAAGTATGGCTTTAAACTTAAATTAAAGCACCAAAGATATGTAGGAAAGTTATGTTTCATTCAGCTCCATCAGTGCTTAGAAGTGAGATATCGTATCTAGGTCTACATGCCCTCCGAGTAGCTTCACATTGAGTGTTAATTCTTGCCTCCAGGCCCTCTTCCGATGATGCTTCTCACGCTGTCTCTGCCTGATGATGACAGAATACCCTGAATTGTTGGAAACGAAGCAGTCTGTGGCCGGACATCTGTATCAAAGACAACACTTCCATTGATAGCGCGGACGGTTCTGCGATACGATTGTTCAGCAATGCTCTCGAAAACATCAGTTGTGTCTCCAGCAGATGTCGACCCGCCACCTGTGACTGAATGGTAGAATGCGCTGCCCCATTGTCTAGTGTGCAATCGCAATGGTCCCGAAGTCAGGGTATAGGTAGAGATACCAGTAACTCCTGTCGTCGCTATATCAAGACCTCTATCCACATGGGCTTTTATGGTAAGCTCAGTGTCAGTGATACCATATGTTGTGTTGACAAATAAAGGATATTCGAAAGTCAGATCATCAGTAGTCCCATTGAATCCAATTTTTGCAGCTAATATTTTCCCGGATGTGAGTTGGTGATTCGCTTGGCTCAATCCTTTCTGGTTCAGCAGACCCGAATTGGAGTACTTCAAGGACTGATGCCAGGTGAATTGGGTCGAGGTGATACTGAGAGTCCTTTCAGCAACAACAGAGTATGAGAGTGTATCGTTAACGCCTTTATCATCTTTGGTGAGAAGTTGCGTAATTGCAAACTGTGGTGTCGGCGAGGTTATTTTAGGCTCCTTCTGAGATTGATCAGTTTTTGAGTACGGTGCATCCTCCTCCAGGTACAAAAAGATGTTTCCCGTGACCACCCAGTAAGGGCCGACAGAATCAGAAAGCCTGGCAGTTCCGTTCGCTTGGATTTCCAAGCCCACGATCTTTATTTTAAAAGAATGTTGACGCCCATCAGTCAGAAGGGGAAGAAATGGCGAAATGTCTATCTCGGGCTGTCGCAGGTCAAAAGCATCAATTCCAACTATTGGACGCCAAAAGCCGGGCGCGACGCCCCCCGTGAAGATAATTGGGAATGGCCAGATGACCCCAGCAAGCAGACCGTCGATATAGAGCTGGATTTCACGAAAGGGTGAATACCCGTAGAGTTCGCCAACCGTGTTGACGAATGATTCTGTGTCGGATGAGAACACGTTAGACCACCAGAACTCCTCTGTGGACTGTCCACATGCAGAAATCGACACAACGGCACGGGCAGTGTTGGAGGGGAACTGATAGGCTATCTCTACATTGTCTGAAGGCACAATGAAGGCACTCGATGCATTAGACGCTGATTTGCGCGCTGATATCGGTAGAATCATGTCCGCTGTTCTAATCGGAGTGCCATGTTGAGAGAAGACGGCAGTAAGTGTGACATTGAAACTGCCTGTGTAGACGTCGGATATCAGATTACCCAAATCAAAGATTAGCTTTTGTCGTTCTTTCCACAGTGCATTGTACTGAGACATCTCCTTAATGTATGTCCAGACAATCCCATTTGTAGTTGGTTCAGCAGTCGATGTACGGAATACCTCTGCATCTCCAAGGTACATGATTGCTAATCGATCATATTGTCGACCTTTCGAAGTCACAGTGAGGTTGATTCGAACCGTGTCAAAGCCACATTTGGGTGGATTGTAATATCCTTGTTACTAGAATCAATACCAGAGCCATCAATCCGCGAGGATATCCACTGACCTACGAAAGGTTTGCCATAGCTATAGGCAAACACATGATCCATAAGAAGTATCTCATCATTGCACGCAGAATCTGCGCCTCCAGTGGTCGAAACAGGTTGGTACACTTGAAAAACCTCCAACACTCCTGTCGTATTGGAGGTAGAAGGTGAAATCTGACCAGTTGCAATACCAGATAAACACTCCAAAGGCAGGTATCCAAGCCATATGAAGGCGGCACAAATCATGAGCGACAGCGCCATGCAGACGATCTTTATTTGGCAGGAGCAGTTCTGGGCGAAATCTCCTTGATTTCTATTCCGATCCAATAACACAGGTTTTAATTCTGAACAAGTATCCAAGCTTGACTCTTTGTATATTGTAATATCATCCAGCGAAATTTCTTTCGCCTCGACCTTTGATATTCTTCGGTATCGCCGAATGGTCGCAAAACTCACTGCAAAGCAACAGCTGAGAAGTAGCGCCGAAACAAGCATCATGATCACTTGTGACTGGGACATGGAGCATCCTAAAAGGAAGCCGCTACTAGGTCCATATCCCTGCCCCATTTCGGATCGTGCCATGGCTGGGTCTATCAATGTGACGGAGCTATACAGGAGCCCCGTCGGCCACATGTAGTGCTTGCGTCTCCTCTTCCCCGCTCAGTAGCGATGTCGTTGCTCCAATATGAGCGTTGCAGGGGGGATAAAATTATCATACTGTGATATCAAGCCAGAAGTAATGAAAATCAACGCTAGCCTGCAAGGAGTGCGACGGCTCTCTGATGTACTATGTGGTAGTTGACGTTAATTGGACGAGTTGATAAGCTATGCGGCATGGAAGTCATATCACACACTAGACAATCGACCTGCCATTTTGAGAAAGACCAACACAACATATCCCCTGGACAGCAGAATGACCTATTCCGGCTCAGACAGAACCTAGGTCTGATGGCGAATGTCGTCATATTGTGACTGTTTTTGGATCGAAATGTCCTTACAATTTGTGAAATTACTCTCTTTTGTCCATGTCAATTCCACGACTTCTTTCGTTGAAGAACATATCGAAACAGCGCTTTAAAATTATACAAAGTATCTTTTGAGGGGCAGGTGGATGGTCATCACACTCCACAAATCCAAACGGACCTTCCTCCCTCTCAGTTTGTACTATCTGAGCAAAAGGAGCGGCGTACTATATACAAGAACTATAACTCGACGGTAAGATTGGAGTATTGAAGAAGTCGATAGCGGATTGAGTTGGATCCAAAGCGCCGATGAATCACATGAAAAGACGCCAGGCACCGAGAATGAGAGCGGCTGTACCGGTGCAAACACCCCTGAAAGTATAATATGTTAGCCAGCCTTGAGAGAATGTAGCAGAGGAGCCATACATAAGCCATTGTAAGGTTGAGAACTTCACAGCCTCAACGCGCTCCCGCAGCCCTGCAACTTCCTGCTCGATTCGTGTTTCAGTCTCCTTGATGCGCATCTCTTGGCCATTCGCTTCTTCTCGGATACGTCCTTTTTCAAGGTTCAAATCAAGCCGAACAGAGGCTTGAGTTCGTCCAATCTCGTCTCGTAAACGTGAGTTAAGTTTCGCAAGATCCGCAGCAATCTTTTCGTGGGATGACCGAGTCAACTGCGCTTCGGTCGAATCTGCGTTTAATAGCTCGGAGCGGAGTTTAGCAAAGTCGACTTTCTGTGTGTATGCTGAGCGTTCAGTATCTACAATGCGTCGTCAGCGCCTGAGAATAAAGAGGAGCAACAAAGAGGATATGAAGGCTGCCAAGGCTCCAAATGGACCTGATCCTGAGGCATGGCCAAGTCGGGACAAACAAGGAGCTGACCAACCTTCCCGAAGAACCATTGTCCGCGTCAAGTGCTGTATTGATTCTTGGATAACATCGTTCAGGACCCTCATCATTGCGACGGCTTGCTCTTCACTGAATCCTTCATCCTTAAGCCGTTGGACGAATCTCAATGTATCGAAGTGATGCTCCCGCTGCCGAGAAGCCGAGGCGTGGAAGGCGCGCCGTGCTGGCTTGAAAGCGGCTACATATACCCCATTATACCTGATAGGACTGTTGAGGTCCTCGAGAGCTGGACGGTTTTGCCGGGCGCTCGGTGATGTAGACGGGCATCTTGCAACCAGTGTTGTCGGGCTAAGGTCCCGAGTCGCCGCAGTAAAAAAGCGGGCTTGATGTGGATAAAGGGATAGAGAACGTAGCTGTTGACAAACAGGATTCAAATTTTGTACGCGATGCTGGCATTGGGTTCGCAAAGTCGAGAGAGCGTTGCCTTGAGGTGGAGTGACCGTAATCCGGGTAGAGGAGCCGTTCCAGGTCAGACGAGGGAGAAGTGAGCGCGAGACTTCTGTGACAGATTTCTGCGGCGCCATCCTCAGAGTATATCAGCACAATGACGACTCATCGGGGAGAGAGGTAAGCAGCAGAAGCATAAAACAGTAACTTTTATCTTTCGTCGGATACTGACTGTTGGTCGCCTCGCCTCCTGCGGAGTACTCGCGGGCATTGACGATGACTAATACATGATATAATTATCGCGGCACTAGTGCATTTTGGGATGCATGTGATTTCCAGCTTCTCATTGGAGAGGTGTGATTGCATAGAAGGCACGATTGAATTACAATTGCAAGAGTTTGTCTATGCATCATTATTATAAATCTTCAGCTATGTCACAAACAGTGGGAAGGATATCGCTGTATGTCTCGTTCGAATGTGCCCCAAAGCCGTCATGAAAGATGGAAAAGAAATAGCACGCTTCATAGCTGGAACAATTCCTTAAGCTGCTGCATGGTATCCTCAGGACCATGTACGGAATGGCCTATCGTCCGCGGGTCTGAGTAGATCTCGTAGTCATTACCTCCAGGAAAGCATTTATCTCCGAAGAAGTGAATTGTTGTGTACTCAACCCCAGTAATTTCTTTCTCAGCTTCAACGTGCCGCAGGCAATAGGTCTTATCCCAACCAGTGGGGAAGACGTCAAAAGAAATCTGGCCGCCGATAGAGTAGCTGCAGATCGATTGTTAGAATCATTATTCTGGAGCGCAGTATTTCTACTATTGCCATTATGATTCACTTACGTGAGGCCATAATCAGGAAACTCCTTCTTCAGCGCATTGACCATATCTGATCTGATGTGGTGTTCTTTGTCATATCTGCCGTAATCGTTAGCCGACTGGTAATCACAGATGCCATCCGTCTTCTCAATGGCTGGCTGAGCGCAGATTTGTATACATACGCTTCGAACTCGTTTCTCTCTTCAACACTTGCGTTTCTGCCAATAGGACTAACATTGATCATTCCATTACGGAACTCAATGAAGGTACCACGCTTCTTGGGCAACTGCAAGTCCGCAAAGTATTTGAGGATAAAGTTCGCCAGCTTCTGATATTTCTCCTCGCCGATCCAATCTATGAAGCTGGTGCTGGCAAGAGGCTTGCCCAGACGAAAAGCCATCAAACCATTCTCCGGGAAGCAGAAATCGAAAAGGGAGGTCACGTCCGTAGCGGCTGTTCCAAGTTGTTCTTGTTGCTTGGCAAGGTTGGAACCACCGACCTGCAGAGGGTGAGATTGGACGTCGAGATCCAGTGAATGGGTTAACTGACGTATCCAATGGCACACTTGTGGCGCAATTGCGAAAGAAGCATGAGCATCTCGGGGGTAACGGTCTGGTAGGCAGAGAATTGGTGACTATTAGCACATGGACTCGGGATCGAGAATCTTCATTGGTAAATTAACGTACCCGTCTCGCAGGTGTCAGCGTCTCATCAACATCGAACAGACAAATCGTGTTTTTAATAGGGCGGTCCTGGAGAGCCGGGTAAATACTCGCAGCTTCGGTAGCCATGATGTATGTTTCTCGAAATGATATTTTTGAAATTAATCAATGAAATTGGCCGTGCATATGTCTGTGCAAAAGAGAGCTAGGGATCAAAGAGAGCCAAAATTCGCAGAGGAAAACAAGACTGCGGGACAAAGAACTGTAATATCAATGCCTCTCTTGTACACCTCAGGAACGTGGCCTATCCGCATGCGGTGAGAAGAGGGGCTAGTGGGGCCTAGACAGGAGTACCTTCCGAGTAGTGCTAGATGATTCAGGCATCAAGGCAAACAAGCTCGAAGCGGTCAAAGTCACAGTCAAGGGGCCAGCAATCCTTCGCTGTAAGATGAATCTGTGGGCCTGGATCTTATCGATAACCAGATTAGTAGTAAGGTGCAGAAAGTAAGAGTACTTCATCCCACCAACTTTGAGGGACATTTCATATGGCTTGTATTATTGATCGGCCAATTACAGAAGATCAACAAAAGTAGATCGCATATCAATGAATATCGAAACCCCAAAAGTAGAGACAAATGAAAGTACACGGTGGGGATCACCGCCCAATGCCTCGCTTTTCTGCTGCCATCCTCGTGACTGAGCATGAAAAGAGAGAGTGCGATAGATTAGGGGTGTCTGCTGTTAGACTTATGCAACTATATGGATCATGTCAAGGGACTAATGGCAGATACTACGTATTAGCGTTAAGCATAGTGTGCGTAAAATCGATTCCCGAATCCTCCAAATATTCCAGAAATGAAGCCGCATAAACTCCCAACGAACTGAACACCCTGCATGAAACTAGCTAGTATGGCGCAAATCGTCTAGCGACCCACAGTAGACTGGAAGACCTTGGCTGCCAATTCGCTCAGTAGTCGGGCTCTTTCAGACTGCGGAAGTTCGAGGAAAACCTCGTACACACTCTTGCCTTTTGCGTCTCGGACAGCACCAAGGCGATTCCCTGCAACGGCACCAGCCAAAGCACCGGGAGTATTGGCCACAATGAATCCTAAAGCACCACCGCTGATACCACCCACAACAGACCAAAAGCGTGATGTAGGCCTGGTACGACGTTGGCCATCGGCATCGGTATCCTCTGCGAGACCTTCTTCCCGTAACATCTCCTCGAAGACAGACCCAAATTGCTCGGAGGCTCGTTGCTCGCTATCTGCGGTGGTGCCAAATCCAAAGGAAGACCATGGGAAGCCACCGGCACCACTCCGAGGCGCTTCCTCCGCTGGCTCTTCATATGCCTCTGCTGCTCTTAGGGCGTCATATTCTCGCCGACGTGTCTGGTCAGAAAGAGTATAATAAGCATCATTGATCTCTTGGAATCTTCGAGTACGGGCGGGTCGCTCTGGTGAACCGGCAGGCACTCGATCAGGATGGGATTTCAAAGATTCTCTGCAGATTATTGAGTGTTATTGAACGTCTCGATATGACCCGAGGTCTTTTCGCACCTTTTGTATGCAGTTCGAATTTGTTGTTGAGTGGCATCGGATGAGACACCCAGAATTTTGTCTGTATCCCTATGAGCGCTGCTCCGATCGGTTTAGTCACTTAAAAGAAGGGCAGTATTACAGTAATCCGGTCGCCCTGATTCTTGTTTGTCAGTCTTTGATTATCCTCTCAAAGTCAGACTAGAGTTGGTAGGTCTTACTAGGCATATTGACTGTTAAACGTTCTGAGAGAAGATCCTCAGGTCGTGCAAAACTAAGCGGTGGTGAGAATGACTCTATTCGTGTTTCAAATGAACTAACCGTGAGGTCAAATGTGAAGAACTTCTAAATGCATAACAACGTAGCGAACTTGAGAAATTCAAGACTTGCATGTGCTGGCTTCCTTCAAGCCGATGACGTCGGTGGTTGATGCCTTGAAAATAAGGACATAATGTTCATCTGCGTGCAACACCCCTGAGAAACAACCACCAATGAGGATCATCCTGCTCATTACCAGCCACCCGTCAGCTTTCTACTAACGCATGTCAGTTTAGCTGGTGCAAGCAGCTCCTTTTGGCTTCCGGTTCTTTTGTGCTCAAAAATGGAATCACTTTGGCAACTCCCCCGTCTTGTCTCCAGCCTTTGCCTGCTGTGATCTCTCAATTGCATGAAATACTAGGCCGCTGATCATTGTTTACGGTGACTTTGCCAGGAGTTCTGATCTATATAGAGATCTTGGCAGCACATCTCCCAAGTTCAAGTAGTGGAGATATCTTCTGCACAGGGCCTAGAACTGGAATTTCGTGCATTTGCATCAATTGACTGCGTATCCACTTTCGATCCATCTAATTGCGCACAGAAAGACGCCTGAGGGGCAGATATTGCATGCTCAATTTGGCGTCCATAATTCAGCAGCTATCTCTGCCTTGCTCCAGGCCACTCTGGCTTTAAGGTTGATTCTTTCTCTGAAAAATTTCAGGCCATCCCATCATTGATTGACAAAAATGGGCTGGTTTGATGGAAGATCGACTTCTTCATCTCGCCATGTTCGTCGACGCTCTCCGTCCCGTCGATCTGTCTATTCCACTTCGCACTCTCGCCATTCGGCGCCATCAATTTTCAGCCTAGGTGGCTACAGTCGTGCTGGTCGTTCAAGCCCATCCGTGCTGTCCTCATCATCCTCGAGACGCGCACGGCCTCGAGCTGGGTTTATCCAGCGCGTAGTCCACTATATCAAGCGCCTCTTCCGCGACATCTTCAACTATGCGCGCCGTCACCCTGCAAAGGTCTTGTTCATGGTCATCATCCCTCTGCTCACGAGTGGCGTACTGCAGAAACTGCTGGCCATAATTGGTATCCGCCTACCGCATAGTCTGAGTGGTCACTCCTCCGGTGCTGGAAGGGTCGGCGAGGGTGGCATGAATGACAACCTCAGTGGACTCATGAATATCGCTAAAATGTTCCTGTAGTACTGAGGGACCAGGCAGACTCAGGGAAACTCAGCTGCAATTGACGATAAGCTTTGACGCCGCCACCCCTGCCGAATGGCGATATGAAGAATGCCTACGAACAATCATGACTATGACAATGACGATGACTACATGTACTCGATCCACATAATGGATGTCTTGTTTCTTTGCGACCACCGTTGATGATTTATACCAGCTATTATTGGGAGGCTGCCTGCAATGTCATACATTTAAAGCTTACACATGCGTCCTGGTAAACAATGATTTTCCGCTCAAGGGTCTCTACGGGCCAAGCTTGCCTATCTTTGCCGTTGCATCTCTTTAGCCACTCTTTTCAGGTCGAAACGTTGCGACGGCATGGCCTGTTCGCGAACAGATTAGTGAAGATCAAACTGCATTTAATAGATTGGCTGCCGCCCAAGGGCATTCTAGGAGACAATGAGCGTATTTGCAGCAACAGTTAAAGTCAACTTCTTGCGAAGATGAAGGTATTGCGTGGCATAAGATTTGGTTAGTAGCTTTTTTACGTCTAAATTGATATACATGTATACAATGCTTTCTCGCCGAGAATGCCTCGGGAAGTGTAGTATAAGCCAAGGCTCGACCTTGACAATCGCGCACCCATCCGGGGACAGGTTGGCTCAGGACCT